TAGCCTCAGAAGTATCTAGACCTGTAGCAGTACTACTGACTGGCCTTAGTACAGGTAGAACCAACCACTCTTGATGAAAATACTATTAAAAGCTGACGCCCTTAATAAAAAGCAGATGGCACAGTACAGAGCACAGGTGAATATGATACAGCAAAGGATAGATGCCACTCAAGCCAAAATGCCTGTTTTCCAAATAAATTCTTCTGATTGGGTTTGCCTAGCATTTATGCCACTTATACACCAATATTACTAATTACGGATTACAAAATTACAAATTATTCAATGTCTTTTTGTGATTTAAATATGTGTCTTGACTTACAATCAGAAGTGGGGGTTGAAAAGGTTTTCTCTGCACTAAACCATGACTGTCTCACCTCAGGACTTTAACATACCGTTTATAAATAATGAAACTTTTTGGAATTCAGTTTCAGAAATCTTACAGTCCAACACTTCAAGATTTGGGTCTGAACGTGCCGGTTAATAGAATCTGTATTAAAACTGATAAAACATCCTTAGAGATATAGAAATCAATTAAATTGAGAAGAAAATAGCCAATATACAATATGGGACTACATTAATTGACTCCGGATTTAGGACATATTAAAATATAGGACATCCTCTGTGTACAGAATTATCTACTGTCTAGTCAAAAAAAATCAGATGATTAATCAAATCAAGCATTTAGCTTCTTTCAGTTTTACCTTAAAATTCACAGTATTATTGTACCCTAATGAATCCCTCCCCCAGAAAAGAATATTTGTATCTAATTTAGATAATGTCAGTTTAGCTCAGTATTAACATTCTGCTTCCAAGTCAAAATGTTATGTGTTTAAGTCCTTCTGGAGAACTGAAGCCCAATATCTGGACTACGGTTATCCGTGATTTCTGGTATAAGGAAAAGTTTTTGGGTACATTATGGACTTATACAGATTCGTTATGACATTTACATAAATATTCTGTTCAATTTGCATCAGTAGAGTTATACAGTCATAGGTTCATACAGTGCAAAAACAAACCCTTCAGTTCAACTTGTCCATGCCAACCAAGTTTCCCAAACTAAAGTAGTACCACTTGCCTGCATTTGGCCCATATCTCTCTAAACTTATGCTATCCATATACTTGTCAAAATGTCTTTTAAATGTTATAACAATACCTGCATCTACCACTTCCTTTGGAAGTTTATTCTACGTAAGAACCACTCTCTGTGTGAAAAAGTTGCCTCTTAGCTCCCTTTTAAATCTTTCTCCTCTCACCTTAAAAATATGTCCCCCAGTTTTGAAACCTGTCACTTTAGGGAAAAGACCTTTGGTATTCACCTTATCTATGCTCCTCATAATTTTATAAACCTCTATAAAGTCACTCTTCAACCTCCTACATTCCAGTGAAAAAATCCCAGCCTATCCAGCCTCTCCTTATAACTCAAACCCTCCATTCCGAGCAACATCCTGGTAACTCTTTCCTGAACCCTCTCCAATTTAATACCCTTCTGAGAACAAATTGGACACCCTTTATTTAGAGTATAACTTCTATCTAGTACTACATTGAAGGACTGCTGCATTGATGTGTTATCTTATGGATGAAGTATTCACATTAAGCTGAATTTGTTGTTCCAGTGATTTAGTTGGATATTAAATATCCCATTTCATTGAGGGTGGCCCAAATTAGGACAGGCCTAATCACAAACAGTAAAAACATTCAGGTATTAATTCTGCCTGAACTTCAGTGGGAGCAGTCTGAGGTGTCGTTTTTAACCATGGATCAATTTGTTAGGCTGCTACCAAGGAATTCCTATTTATTTCTTGCTTGGGGTCTTCTTAACTTCTGAGATAGATTTTGGATAACCAAACTGGTCTTGTTTTCAATGCCAACTCAGCCTCCAATGGCTTAGTTGTCTGGCTATGGGTCACATGACTACTGTCAGGGGCATGCCAGGCATTTTATCCTACAGCTGTTAGGTCTCCTTGACCTGAACGGATTTTGCAACGACCATTTGGAGCGCCATTACCTTGGATCCAACCAAGTCATTCATGACGAGCAAGTTGATATCCTCCTCAAGCAAACTAGATATGACAGTCACTGGTCTTGACACAAGATCTTGCCCAAGATGCACCAGGTAAACAAAGATGGGCATATATCCTTCTTCAATCTGTAGCCAGCATTTTGGCAGTTAGTGCATTCTCTTTTCCAAGCATAGAGTTGGCCAGCCCCAATATCCCTCAGTTTCACTACAGGCTTGCTCATCTTCCCTGGGAAATGTAGTCACCCTTTATTGAGTTCACAATCCCAGTAACTTTCAGAGATTTATTTAACATCATTGTTGCTCTCAGGAGTGCTTTTACCAGGATTTGCAGTTTCAATCGGAGTCATAGCCAGGTCTGTTTTGCCCCCTGCCTGACTCCCATTCTCTACAGAGGCCCCCAAAAAAATCCCACCAGTTTTTACCATAGCCTCCAGAAGATAGCCTGGATGTACCTTATCTTTGGCAGTTCTAATAGACAGGTTGCTTGGCCTCACCTTTCATCTCAGCACCATGTTTTCTATCTTGAGGAGGGCTCCCAATATATTTTTCTTCCTTCCACAGGCCATCAGTTTCTTATCACTCTCCCTATCTCTATCCTTTCAAGTTGGTTGAGGATCACCAGGAACAGGAACAAAGATTTATGGATCAGCTCATAATCACCAGCCAGTGTGGCTGCCTGTGTTGACCTAATCAGTCTCAGTGCCTCAAAGCATATTCTAATTGGGAAGGATATGGTGTTATTAAACTGTTCAAGGAAAATTAGTTCATGGAGTTTTTTTAAGTGCCTGAAGTGCCATACTCACTGGTCAAAAGCAAGCTGCTTAAACCTTTCAAATTCCAGTCATGTTTAGTCAGGCCACTTCTTGAGAGAACAAAGTTTTTGATGACATGCCTCTGATAATAACTGGTGCACACTTAAGGAAGCTCTTTTTACTACCTTGTAATCAATGGCACTTTCCTCACACAAGAGTGAATCTCATCCACTTACGCTGCAGTAATAGGGAGTAAAGCTTGATTGGTCACTTTAATGGTTTTGCCACCTGGTCTGAAGACAGAAGCTTTCTCTACCTCTACCTCCTCAAACTTAGAAATTAAATGAGCAAAGTTGCCTCCAAACACAAGTCTGAGCCAATAATGTCTTCATAAAATAGTGTGATTCCTGCTATTCAGCTTAAACTGTCTTCATTCAAACTCCTTTTCTCACAATTTTCCTGAAACTCTGTTCTCTCCTTGCTCTTTCCTCCCTATCTTGTTCCATCTCTTTTTGTTGAAAGTCTAATTTCTGGTGCTCTAATTACAATCTCAACTTCTACTTTGTTTCATTGTTCTCAGTTTCTACCTCTAAATGCATTGGCCACGTTTTCTAAAATTTCAGATTATCTGGCTTGTGTGTGAAATTCTGATCCCAAGTACCTCAATAACTCTTAGCTATTTGACAAACAGAACATTTAAATTCTCGAAAGTAACTTTCCCTAATTTTGCTTGGAATTTGCTGGCACTGAAGGCAGTCATTTCTATACAGTAGCAATACAAACTCAAGAAAGCCCTTTGCAGTTTTCCTCTTTAAAATTAATTTCAAAGTGTCAGTTTACTAACTAGAATTCATTTGTTTCACCTGTGGCAAAATACCCCAACTTGGTATGACCCAGATCTCATTGAGGTTTCCCAGTTCGTTACAATTCCAGACTGGATACCTCAAATCATTAAGCTCTCACTAGGTTCCCTCTGACTTCTCTAGTCACTGCATGGACCTCGCAGGTCTGTATGCATAACAGCTAGAGAAACCAAAAGTCAATGTGTCAGCACACCAATCAGCTTAGAGAGAACATTCGTTCCTGGATGAGAAGTGAAGTGATTCTTCTTTGTTATATACACCCATCTGCTTGGTTGGTTGCAACAAATTTAGAAACAATCCTTTCACTTATGGACACTTTTCTCCCAGACCCAAAAGAACTTTTATTTTAAAAGGAGACCATTTAATAGACTTCTTACAGCAAATGGGCTGCAGCAACTCTTGAAGACAGTTCATCACCACCTTCTCAAGGGCTTCCAGACAAGAACTGCTGGCCTAGCCAGTGAAACCCACATCCCATGAATGAATGAACTTTTAACATTCAAAATAGGAATGGGCAATAAATTCTGGTCTAACCAGCAACTCACATGTTCCTTTAAAGAGTTTTTAAAAAGCATTTTACTTTGAGACAAGCATTAAATAGCATGCCAAAACAAAACAACTTAGAAAAACAGCATGGTAAACCTTGTAGGAATTCATTCTATTGAGTTTGTACTGGGTCTTTTGAAGATCAATCCAAATTGGTCCTATTCTCAGCTCTTTCCCATTTTCCGCAACTTTCTTTTTCCCTTTCGATAACATAAACTACCTAGCTGTAAAAATATTGCATTTATACAATTTGCATTATTGCTGTATTCGAACTGGAAGTTTGTACTTTAGTGTTAATTTATCTGGAGATATTCTCCTCCTTATAAAAGGCACCGCCTGTAATTGGTACAAAGTCAACTCTTACTAACTTTGCTATTGTACTGGAGGTGAATATAAAATATGCTAGACTGTTTCCACCATTACATTTTTAAAGGAAAATAAAACAATCAAATTCATATCCTGCTCTATTCTATTAGAAAGTACACAGTTGGTGTGTAAATAATGGAATAGCAGGCAGAATCCATAGCAATGATAAAATTTCAAGGCAAGGAAAGGAAGACTTAAACTCTAGAACTAATGCAGTGGGTTTCAGAAGCTTTTAGGGTTTTCTTAATAATGTAGCAAATACATTGAAATTTCTCTCCTGCAGTGTAAATATCTAATTTATTAATATCCATTACCAGTTTCTGTACTACAATATACAGCCCTTGAACTTTGTAATACAAGCTAATGACATTGATTTAGAGGGCAACTTGAAAACACAGTACAATGGTGAATAGCAGTTTTGCCAATCCTATACAAAATGAAGTAGGATCAAAGTGGAATTTTCAAACTTTTATTGAAGGATAAATCAAACAAATTTAAATAGATCTTATTTTATATAACTGTGGACAAGAAATGGCAGAAACAATATTGGTAATCTGATTGATTTTTAATATATCTCACAGAAGTCGAGTATTTAGTTCCAGCTTTTGATGAGAGTTATTTTCTGTAGCAATATATCCACATACAACTCATCTTCATTCAACTTCAGACAGCACAGCATACATTAATTTAATCCAAGACACAAAACCTGTGTAATGCAAAAATAAATAACTATAAATCACAAAAAAAATCATATCTACAACAAAGTATCCCAAAATCCCTGGAAGTATTGAACTCCATTTAAACTGGTCGGGTCAATGTACCAAAGCACCTGGTAACAAAAAATGGGGAGGATTGCTGAAAACAATTGTTCTGTAGAATCAAAAAAGTTCCAGCTGCAGTGGAACATTTCTCTGCCTTTACTGGATTTAAGTAAATGAGTGCCAGGAATGGTAGAATCACAAATGTTAAAGATGTAATGCATTTTTAAAACTTATGGACGTATTGGAAAATTGTTAGCATACTCAGATGATAAATAAGGTCCTGGTCTGGTTTATAGAAAAAAATAAATCAACATACAATGGATGTAGGTGGCAGCCACAGGGTTGAAAAGTAACTACTGCAAAGAACTGCTCTGGTTCTAAAAGATCAAGTTTCTTTTTCTTATTGTTACTCACCTCAATGACATAAAAAGTCTATTCAGGATGGGTTGAAGGGCAAAACCTGTTGATGATACTCGACAGCAGAAGGGCACAAGGCTTACTGTTTTCTTCCTCTCTTTTTATTTACTTAATAAATGGTCCTTTCTTTCTTCGTCTTTACTATTACTCAATACATGTTCGTATTTAAGCAAATTGCTGTTGTCTAACCATCTGTTAACTACACTTAACTGGATCCAAAAAGAACTGCTTGGATACACTCGTTGATCCAAGACATTTTTGGTGACAAGGATGTGATTCAGGCAAAGTGCAAGAGAAGGGAAAAGCAACCTGAAGCTCTGGAGACCTTCCGTATTCCAGGGTGGAATGTGGCAGACTTTGAATTCATGTCTGTAACTAATATGGTAGCACAATTAGGACCCCCTAAAGGATGGAGGTGGGGGGGAGGGGGTCAGTCATAACCAGAGAGAGAGAGAGAGAGAGAGAGAGAGAGAGAGAGAGAGAGAGAGAACTGGAGGCCAGGTTTCTGCGCTGTGCAAATGCACTTGAACCTTGTAGAAGTGTTAACTCTTTGTGGTCTGGTTTGAATGCACCTTTGTTTGTTAGTTGCTAAATGTCACCTTGTACAATTTGTGTTTTTGTTCTCTGCAGCTCAAGAGCTGGGGATACTGTGAAGTTAGTTTGCATTTTGGAAATGCATGGCGATTTGAAAGTGTGTTGTGTGCCTGTATCAGCGTGGGATATGTACAGTTAATGTTATGTCCTTTTAAGAAACCAATGATTGTGTAAAGCAAAAATCTGCAAAATGTTGATTCAAAGATTTGGTTTGTAAAGCTTGGTAAAAATTTACTTTTTGGAATTGGCTCCGTGTTGTGTTTGGACTTGGGTACATTTGAATTCCAAAAATTAACCATGATTGGAATTTCATTTTCTGGCCAGCATGTACTTCCAAAAACTTCCAAAAATTTAAATGGAATAGTTATCTAAAAATTTAAAGGAATTCTGGGAAATGATAAAGCGCACGTACACAGTCTCAATGGTTTCAATGCATACAAAAATGGTTAGTAACTTTGAGGGAGTAAACATAATATTAAATTTGGACAAATTTACATAGAGATATCAGATATCTAGAATAAGTTATCAACTAACTTTTAAAAGAAATGTGGGTCATCTTAGAGAAAGAACAAACAAAGTATGTTGTACTTGAATCAAAGGAATGTTTGACTTCTGTTTTAAAATATTATAAGATTATGTTCCATGGACTACAAATCTCTGGAATTAGATATGGTGGTAAAATTGCAAAATTAGATGAGACAAAGAAATTAAAGGTGCAGGCTGGTGGCAGAGGACAAAAAAATTAGAATAATGGAGTTGAAATGGCAAATTGAGATTAAAATGCATTTTATTCAAAAGGAAGTTTAGATGAGAGTACCAAACTGATTGCTTTCTCTTGGTGATGTTTGTGTCCTTGCCTTTCTTTTGAAGAAAGATTGAACTGGTGATCGAGCCACTACCCGAGACTTCGGGACCATACGTGGAGTGATAAGTAAAACCTCATAGATCACTTAATAAGATCATGTGGGAGTCAAGAATGCATGACATGGTCTTGCGATACTGACATCAGTGTGGAAAGTGAATGTTACTTCAGAGATAACAAACATGAGACAACACAAAAACATGCACTGAAGAACAGGTCTCAGACACGTACAACTACTTGACAAAAGGATTAGTGTGGCATGGAAGAGCACGAAAACACAGATTAGACAATAAGACACTGACACAAAATCCATAGAGAAACTGACTTTAAAATAATGAAATTAGTATTTGTGAAAGGGATGTAGAAAAATTACAATCAAAATAAAAAAGTGCGATTGGCAATTATGTCAAAATGTTACAGAAATGAAAGAATATGGACTCTGGGAGGTATAATAGTAGACTGAGTGAAAGAACCCATTCGATGACATACAAATACCCCATATTGAGCGTTTGTATGATCCACGCACTCCAGTGATTAAACCAGTAGGTGAAATTGTAAGGTGTTAAGATGGTTAGTGTATGTGAAAGAAGGCTGAACTAAGACTCAGGTGGTGTTGGAGTTGTGGTAAGGGAAACCCGGAAAAAAAGAGGCGGGAAGCATACACTGAAGGTAAAGCCTGATGGATGTTAGAGCTGTATTGTTTGATACCATCTGTATTGTAGCTCAAAGGAGATACCTGCATATGGAGGTAGTTACCACTCAATGATACAATCATTCAAAATTGGCAAGGAGGGAATCATATTGAAGAAGTATCCTCAAGGCGGATACAGATGAAGAGAGCTGGAGAAATTTTGAGTGCATGTATGATGTTATTTTACTGCTATTAGTTGAAGTAATCTGTGGATAGGGAACTGGAGGATTAAAAAAAAACACAAACGAAAGAACCTGAATCTGGATTATACTGAATGTTAGAGCAAATTATGTAAACAGATTGACTGGTAAAAAACGTAGACGATATTCTGGTCACCTGTCAGGTGGCACAACTGCTGGTTCCATCATGGACTTGACAATACATCAGGGTGGGATATATATTTAAGATTTTGTCCCCGAAGGCCACTGCGATCATTAATTTGATGATACACCCTTTTGTTATAATGTCCACATTGGTGATGGCTATTTTCATTGTAGTTTTAATCTTCTAGTGTAGGATACATACTCTTATTATACATTCTTATGCAGCTGTCGCTGATTTGCATCTGCATTCGCAGTTGTAACATATGATATCAAATACCATCAGGGTAGATTGTATAGGATGGGCTGAAGGGCTAAATGCGATGATATTCGACAGCTGCATAACCTTGAATGAGTCCTGTAAACATTCCTGTATGTGCTGAAGACGGCACAATCAACGTGTTTTTCTGTAATTGTTTGTTACACTGTATAAGAGAAAGAGTTTTGCTCCAAGTCATTGGACTTCGCCTCGGACTGGGATCGCAAACAGTACCAGGAACAACCTCAGCCTCCAGACCAGCCATTGATCGAGGGGTCCCCGATGGATAGAAGGGCGTGAGGCTTATTGTTTTCTTCTTCTCTTTTTCATTTTTTATTATTACTCAAAAAATGTTCATATTTAAGCAAGTTGCAGTTGTCGAGCCTTCTCTTAACTACATTTAGCTGAATCCGAAAAGAACTGCTTGGATACACACTGATACAAGACAAGGTCGAACAGTCAGTTTATTTTAAGTAGCCTAGACAGAATAATTGCCTCTTGTGAGATCCATAACTAAGAGATCATTAATAATCAATCAAGCTTTTAAACAAAACGACATGGGAAGGGGAATGGTATTTAAATTTTAAAATAACAAGAACTGATCTTTATTGAATATTTCAACTTATTAAATTAAACTTGTATCATTTCATGAAAAGGTTAATGGCACACTAAACCAAAATGTGATAACAACAGGATGCCCATATTCTCAAATGCATACAATTTTTATTAAATATTCATAGAAATCTCTAAATTACAGAGTTAAGGAAAATAAAACTTAGTAAAAAGGTGCTAAAAAGATAATTAATACTCACCACACTCTTCCAAAGACAGTGCCTCATCAAATCTTAAATCCCAATGCTCTCATACACTCTTTATGAGCTTCAATCAGGTCTTTGCAGTTCTCCTCCCCTTTCTCAATTATACTGCAAACAAAACAAATGTTAAGTAAGTTGGCTCAAATTATAAAACATAAAATCTCCACTATGAACAACAAACTTACTGCTTTTACTGAAGTAAAGTTGCTAGTCTTACCAGACCACAAGGCTGCTCTCTCACTAGAGAGACGAGTGGTGGTTTAAACTGAGGAAAGGGGAGAGGTTGAGAAGGAAATTCATTCATGGTAACCTCAGCCAGTGCAGGAATTGAACTCGTGCTGTCAGCGTCACTCTGCATTGCAAACCAGCTGTCCAGCCAACTGAGCAAAATCATCCCTCCACTGCTTTCAATACCAAATATTCAAAGTTGATAAACAGTCCTCATTTCTCAGATTCCAAAACTAGCCAATCTGCTTTTGATAGATTTGCATTTCAGAATGGAATCAAGATCTTCTAAAAATTAACTCTTTATTTGAGAAATTATTTCACATAATTACTCTTGACAACAAACACTTCTAGATTTAGTCTTACTGGAACTGGAAGGTATTGTTTAAATGCTGAATACAGAAACCACAAAATGGAGAAGCTTTAATTCAGTCTCCTTTTCTGCCTCTTTTTGGGAGGATTTACTAAAAAAAAATCCTAATAGATCCAGCTGTAACACTGTACAATTATTTAATTTCAATACACTTTCCTACAGATAATTGAAAATAAAACTCAGATTTTAACAATGAAACTTAACCAGGACAATAGAGGAAGCAGAATCAAAGCACCCAATTAAGAATATCATTACTGCTGTATTCTTCTCAAGGGTTCCTCCAGATGTAAAACAAGATGTACAGATTATGATGCACATAATTTGGGCTTCAGGTTTTATCTTGGTCAAAATTTACTTTGGTGACATCATGGGCATATTAGTCTCTATGAATATGCCCTAGGTTAGAGACTTTAGCAACAGAGGGAAAAACATGATAAAAACTAATAGACTATTCTGAAGGGGGGAGAAGATGTCCACAAAAAAAGAAAAGAATTTTCCATAAGATATTAAGCAGATTCATGTAATTCATAATATGGCAGATTTTCATATCCTTTCGTAGAACTGAACTGGGTGAGTTATAGAGTGGCTCTTGATTGGCTTTTGTACACCGTCATTTTGAATTCAGTGGCAGTTGGAGTTTAAAACAATTTCCTTGAAGAAGCCTTGATGGTGAAACAAAAAAAAACTGAACACATCTGTTTTATTGATAACTAGAAAAAATAAAATTAGTGACAAACAAACATACAAATAATGTAACATTGCCAAGCTATATCCTGTTAACAAAAAGCAGTACAAATCTAATCTGGTCAACTAACTACCCCAGTCTTTATCAGTCATGTGCAAAGTGGTAAAAAGTGTCATTAATAGTGTTATCAAGTGACAGTGAACTTGCTCACCAATCTCAGAGGTTCCACCAATGTCAGTTTTAGACCTCATTACAGCTTAGACTCAAACAAGGACAAAACAGCTAAATTTCAGAGGTGGGGCAAGAAGACTGACCTTGACATCAGGAAACATTTGAGTGACTGACATCAAGGAACCCAATAATGTTGAAATTAATAGGTCTCAAGAGATTGAAATTAATCTCAGACCCAAGAATTCATCAGAACAATGACCTAGGGCAAACTATCTTCAGCTGCTTTAAGACTTCCTCCGTAGAACAGAAGAAGTAAAGATTTTTGTTAATGATTACACAATTTCGAGTTTCATTTGCAACTTCTCAGCAAATGCATTTTATATGTGGATACATTTAGCTTAAGGTTCATAAATGAGAAGTAATATTTGCATTACACAAGTTTAAGACAATGACGATTTAAAAATAGTTTAATGGCTTAACCATTAAATATCACTGTTACAATATCACTGATTAGGGTACCATTCAGAAGTACAACTGACTCAGCCATACAAATACTGTGGCTATATGAGCAGGTTAAAGATATGGAATTCTGTGATTTATGAATAATGTTTTGACTGCTATAAGCCTGACAACTATTTACAAGTCAGACTACTCTCTACTTAACTGGATGATGCAGCTTCAACAACACTCAAAAAGCTTGGCAATATCCAGGACAAAGTAGCCCATATGTTTGACACCAAATTCACGACTTTAAACAGTTACTAACTCAGCAACCAAAACATCTTGGCACCATTTATAAAATGCACAGCAGCAACTCTCAAACCTATAAAGGAGGACAACACAGGCAGTAGATGCATGGGAGCACCACTATCTCCAATTGACACACCATCCTGACTTAAAAATATAAAATGTTCCTTCATTATCACTGAATCAAATCCACTAGCTCTCTATCTAACAGAACTGTGGGAGCGTCGCCAACATACAGATTACAGCCTTTCAAGAATGCATCTTACCATAATCTATTGGACAATTAAAGATGAGCAATAAATGCTTACCATACCAGCAATAAAGTAAAGTTGCCATTGTCCTGATCTCTCATTACAGTCAACTGGTGATGATTTAACCTGAGGATCACAATGCCTCAGATAAAGGGCAGTTTGAAGAGGAGAGTCTTCCATGGTAACCTCAGCTGATATAGGAATACCTACTTTTTGTGAATGACTAAAACATACATGTACATAATGTAATGGTGTCCAAGAATGAATTACAAAACACTAAATTTAATACTACTATGTTGTATAGATTGAATTTGAGGCTGGAACTCCAATGTAGGACTGAAGTGCTGTACTACCATTGGTGCCATTTTTCAAATGAGACCTTAAACCAAGATCTTCTCAGCTCTATCAGATGGATACAAATTGTCTCTCTGCACTATTTCACAGACCAAAGACATTATATTTCTGGTGTCCTGGCGAAGAGTTATTCCTTATTTGACATTACAAACACAAATTATTCAGTCATTACTGCATTACTGTTTGTGAGAGCTTGCTGTGTGCAAAGGGAGTGCTCTGCTTCTTTTGTTACAACACTATCTATAATTATAAAGGACATAATTGGATTCAAAGTGCTTTTGCATATTGTGGGACCATGCAGGTCATTACGAAAATACAGACCTTTCTTTTAACAAAACAGTAAAAGGGAAATTTGCCATAGTCTCTGGGCCATTGGACAGCTCTCTCTTATTAGAGAGATGACTGGTGGAGAGTTAACCTGAGGGTCACCATGCCTCAGGTAAGGGGAGAGATTAAGGAGGTGAGACCTTCAATAGCAACCTCAGTTGGTGCTAGAACTGGAACTGAACCCAAGCTACTGGCATCACTGTATTGCAAACCAGCCATCTAGCCAACAACTCAAAGACAGTCATGTAAAGTTTGCTCAGAAAATACATTTGGTAGAATGTAAAATCCAAATGTATATACAACCCACAGCAATACGTTTACCTGTAGTAAAAGAGAATAACACAAGAAAGAATAGAATAGAGTGTGTTAATATAGCAGACTTCATGGACCAGGAACCCAAAGTGCAATCTGGCCAATGAAAATTTTTGAAATATGGTCATGAGCTACTGAGTTTCCCACTTCATAACAATTTGTGGATAGTGTGATATTGGCCACTTCGTGTTTTGGTGACACGAGTTCAGAGATAACTACTGTACAGGATAGAGCCTTAGATTGTATACTCCATCTGAAAAAGCAGACAGTGCCTCAGTTTAAATGTCCATCCAAAATACTCAAACCTGCACTGTAGTTGATATCTCCAGAATAGCACGTAAATGCACAACTTTCTGACTCAGTCAGGAATACTACCACAGAGCAAATGCCAACAACCAACCGAGTAAATTCTGAAAAATTTTAAGCCTTTGCTTTTTTCCGCCACAGGATATTCAAAGCACTTTTACGCAAGTACACAAGGGTAAGGAATAGGAGTTGATCATACAATCCATCAAGCCTGCTCTGCCATTTAATACAATACATGGCTGATCCTGGGCTTCAACTACACAGTCCTGCAGACTGTCTAAAGCCTATCCCAGCCTCAAATATACTCAATGATAGACCATCCAAAATCCTCTTGGGTATGCATTATAAATAAAAAATTTCTCTTATCTCATCTATATTTGCAGATACATTCTATTTTGTTTTAAGAAAAAGCCTGACTCTAGGTTAAAACACAGACAAATTTCTAATTAAGGCCTCGCACCTAAAACGCATTGTCTGATCGGAGATGTCACCTCTTGTATATTGTATACACTGATAAAACCTTCAATTATCTCTGGGCAATGACTTGAAAGAAATTCTGGGATTTACATTTTAATCAATAGAAACATGCGTCTCCTTTCTAGTAGATTTAAAATTTAACAGGAAGTGACGAGCAATTCTGCCTTTCTGCTTACAAATTCTGTGTCGGTATACCTCCTCTTCCACACTACACCTGAGGAAGGAACAGAGCTCCGAAAGCTAGTGTTTTCAAATAAACCTGTTGGACTATAACCCGATGTCATGTGATTTTTGACCTTGTCCACCCCAGTCCAACACCAGCACCTCCATATCAATTTTGGTGTCATCTGCAAACTTACTAAGCATACCTCCTATGTTCACATCCAAATCATTTATATAAATGATGAAAAGCAGTGGACCCAGTACTGATCTTTGTATCGCACCACTGGTCACAGGCCTCCAGTCTGAAAAACAACCCTCCACCGCCACCTTATGTCTTCTACCTTTGAGCCAGATCTGTATCCAGATCGCTAGCTCCCTCAGTATTCCACGTGATTTAACCTTGCTAACCAGTCTACCATGAGCAACCTTGTCAAACGCTTTACTGAAGTCCATATAGATCACCTTCACCACTCTGCCCCCATCAATTCTCTTTGTTATTTCTTCAAAAAACTCAATCAAATTAACGAGACATGATTTCCCACACACAAAGCCATGTTGACTATTCGTAGTCAGTCCTTGCCTTTCCAATACATGTAAAATCCTGTCCCTCAGGACTCTCCTCCCCCCTTCCCCCAACAACTTGCCCATCACTGATGTCAGGCTCACTGGTCTAAAGTTCCCTGGCATTTCCTTACCACCGTTCTTAAATAGTGGCACAACATTAGCCAACCTCTAGTCTTGTGGCACCCCACCTGTGGTTATCAATGATACAAATATTTCAGCAAGGGTCCCAGCAATCTCTTTCCTTGCTTCCAAATTTCACCATTGACAAGAGTTGGAACCCATAAACCCAGAACATCAGCCTGGGGTTCTGAGTTCCTGGTTCAATTGCATTACCAGGATGCCACTGCCCCTCCAGATGGACATCACCAGGAAGGTCACACAATAGCCTTAGAAATGATTTCTGATATTGAAAAAAAGCTCCCTCAGTTGCAATCATATACTGATCATTTCAGTCCTTTTCATTGAACTTGGATCCTGGGACACACACATCCCGACAGAAAATCTTCACTTAGGGCCAGGTCGTTTAGTCTCACATCCTCATCTTGACCATGACTCCAGTGGTCCAACACAACTTCCCAACTCCAATAAGTCATTATGGGCTTTGGCTCCCAAGACACTAAACTAGTTTGGCACTTTAACAGGCCTATTTTAGACATTCTCTTTCTTTCTCACCAGATACTAATTCACCTCTCTTCCTACCACCTCACTCGCTCACCTCGTCTAAGTATTTTTCTTAACCTCAAACTCGGTGTCTTGAATAAAACACATAGGCCTAACTGCACGTGTAGTGGGGAGATAAACTTATTTTGTTGAAAATGTTCAATTTGTTCCCTAAAGACCTAGCCCTCGACATATACTCCTTCGTTTAACCTGACAAGCGATACAATGGGAAATCCAGGAGCATCACGTAAACGGCGCGTAATACGCAGAAGTAATGGTTAATGTGATAATCTCGCTGTGAAGTTGATGAGGACATAATTGGGAAGTTGTTGCTCAGACTCGAGCCGTCCACACTTCAGCGATAAGCTTCAAAGCGTGCCACTACAAAAACAGACATTTCCTACGCCTTCTAACAGACGCCATCGCGCTCATTAATACAATTTATCACTGAGATGATTAGCTGGATCAAATATCATTGGGGGCATGAATGATCAGGCAGGAGCACGATTTATTCAGCTGCGGTTTCAAACCAGACCTAAGGGCATGTACCCAGAAAGTGCGCGAACTCAGGACCGACTCACAACGACAACGATGTAAAGATATAAATAGAGATCGAAAAAGTTTCCCATTACCAGGCATCCCTGACTTTCTTGGTCTCAGGACATGCACAGCATGGTTTCAAAGGCTTCTTCCCCTCAGCCTGACCAGCAGGCACCGTCCCCAGTGATGTAGGCACAGTTAATTCAGACATTTTCATCTGAAATTATATTGAGTTGCCTGTTTGTTCTAGCCTTAAATCAAATTTTGTTCGATTTCCACCTTTGCGTAATCCCTCACCCACAGCTTTGGTCCTACGCAACACGCCGGAACACGTGACCTGGCATGGTGTAAGCGCATTGACTCCTGGGTGTTGTAGTTCCTCTTCAGTCTCAAATCTAATTAAGCGGCAGATATCGAACTACAAATCCTAGAACACACTGCTCTGGGCCGTGCACTTCACCTGCGCGGTGTCCTTACCCTGTGCGGATATTGTTCAAAGAGGAACAGTTCTGTTAATCGTCTAAGTAAAATTACACTTTAATGAATGTTTTTGGAAATAAGAGCATTAAATGAAGAGAACTCCCATGGTGCCTAGACGCTTTCACTTCTGTTTCCTTGAACGGATTGTTCCTGTGTTATTAATAGTTACGAAAATTAGGAAGTTTTGTAATATAATGGTAACATCCTTTAGGCCAGAAGCTTTACACTGGAGGCCCACGGGAATACTTCGCCCATTAGCAAGGACTGCTTCCAATGGAAGTCCATGTTTTTAAAATCAGAAGCGAAGATGGGAGGAAAAAAAATACTTGGGAAGGCTGTGGACCTTACCACTGGGAAGGAGGAAGGTTGAAATTGTGTCGGATGATGATGGGTGGTCGGCAACAGTAAAGGTCATGGTCATTTAGGTGCTTTTTATTCCCAATCTCTGCGGACCATTAATTAGTAATGGAAAGGAACGCTCCATCATGTCATGGGAAGTGAGGGTAGAAATTACAGGGGCACTGGCCGTATTCTTTCAGTCTTCCCTGGACTGGGGCAGGTGCCAGAATACTGGAGAATTACAAAGAGATAGTAAGAACTGCCGATGCTGGAGTCAGAGATAACACAGTGTGGAGCTCGAGGAACACAGCAGGCCAGGCAGCATCACAGGAGCAGGAAAGTTGACGTTTCGAGTCGGGACCCTTCTTCAGAAATGGGCTTTACAGTGGGCTTATAACTCACTCAGAAATAGTAAGAACTGTCGATGCTGGAGTCAGAGATAACACAGTGTGGAGCTGAAAACTTCTGAAGAAGAGTCCTGACCCGAAACGTCAACTTGCCTGCTCCTGTGATGCTGCCTGGCCTGCTGTGTTCCTTCAGCTCCAC